CTGCCGCCCCCTGCCGTCCCTTGCCGTCCCCTGCCGTCCGTCTGCACGCTCCTCGCTCTGAGCTGGGGTTTTCCCGACACCAGCTCTGCATCCCTGGTGCACTTTGCCCCCTTCCGGCGCCTGGGCGGGCCCCGTCCTGGAACTCTGGGCTGCGCCCGCCAACCCCCCAGGATTTGAGCTCCTTGCTCAGGGTCTGAGCCCCCTGCTTGTGTGTCTGGTGATGAAAGGGACTCAGCCCCGAGGCTTCCCCAGCGGGCACCCAGGGCGCCCAGGTGCAGGAGCCAGCTGGGGAGCCAGTGGGGGGGCGCGGAGGGCGCCTGGCCCTGCCCGTCTGCCTTGGCCGAGGCCAGGCCCTGCCTTCGCTGCCTCCTTTGAGCCACAGCGCTCCCCGGGGACTCCCCGGGGGACTCCCCCGCAGCCTGTCCTCCCCCGCCAGCAGGCCGGCCACTGTCGCATCATCTGTTTAGCTTCCCGCTTGGGAGGAGCTTCTGGGCAGGGCTCACGGAGGCGGCTGGACCTTGGACTTGTCCCGGGCCAGAGCTGGGGTGGGAACAGCCCCCAAGCCGCAGGACGACACACCTCTGCGGCGGCCTGGTGGGGGCTGGGAGCCTTGGCCACTCACCCGCCCCTTAGCCGCGTCCCCAGTGGCTGCAGGGGTGGACCAGAGTCCTCGCCCCTCCGGTCAGGGTTGGTGCAGGAACCCCCAGGCCCAGGGGATTCTGGCGCCCCCGCTGCAGGGGCCACAGCACTCACGGCTGAGCTGTTTTCCAAGGTTATCCGCCGCCTCTTCTCTGGCTCCAGGTGAAAGGGCCCCGCTCTTCCTTCCCACAGCTCCAATGTGTTGCTGGACCAGAACTTCGTCCCCAAGCTGGCTCACCCCGTGACTCACCTGTGTCCCGTCAACAAAGGGTCGAAATCCACCACGGTGAAGACCCGGCTCTTCCAGGCCTCCGTCGCGTACCTGCCGGAAGACTTCCTCAGGGTGGGGCAGCTGACCAAGCGCGTGGACGTCTTCAGCTGTGGGATAGTAAGAACACCTCTGCGTGGTGGGGGGCCTGCCCCCGCAAGCACAGGGCACAGTGAGGCTTTCAGGGGTGCCCCGCCAAGGATGGCAGGGCCCTCAGCTGGTCCTGGGCTGGACCTAACCCCTCCTATTTTCTGTGGCCTCTGAGCTCAGAACTGTGCTTGCGTTCGTAAAACCTGTATATAAAAAAGAGGAAGACGTGACAGAGACTGTTCGTGGCCCAATAGCCTAAATATTCCTGTCTAGTCCGCTGCAGAAAGCTCTAAAGATGAAGCCGCCACCCCCCGGCTCCAGAGTCCAGGGCCTGCAGGGACATCTCCTGACACCCCCTTCCTGTCGGATTGTGGGTCCAGTGTCTGCTTGTCCCTGTTTGTTCCTCCGTGTGCTTTGTCCATCTGTTCACCTGTTGTGTGATCATCCGTCCACCGCCCGCCGGCCTCCTTGGCCACCTCCCCGGGGTGCTGGACATAAGTGTGACTAACTGTCTCATCTCCAGGAGCTCATGGTCTCTGGGTCTATCTCTTGGGCTCTCTGTAGGTTTGATGTGTTCAGAGGTTTCCCAGGTAGGTTAGAGAAATACTGGGTTAAGAAAGGCAAGCCAAGTTCCTATCCCACGACTAGCCAGAGCCCGTCACTGTGGTAGCGAGGCTCCCAAGTGGTGACTGCACGCTTGCCGTCTCGGAGTACTCCCGCCGGGCCTTCCTGGGGGTGCAGCAGGCTGAAGTGCAGCCCTGTGAAGCTGTCTGCAGCCGCTGCAGCTCAAGTTCAATCCCCGGCCAGAGGGTGGCCCACATGGCGCAGCAGACCTCTCCTGTCTCCCTGCTGCTCCCCTCAGCAGTGGACTTTGTCGATCTGCTTATTCTGCTCCCCACTCTGTCTTTGGTGAGTCTTCTCACCCCCTGCACCTCTGGCCTGTACCCCAGTTCTGGATGCACAAATAAACAAATCTTTAAAAAGAAGAAGAATGCGCAGTGCCAGCGGAGCCCGGGCTGGGAGTACTGGCTGAGAAGTGCCCCCTCTCTGGCTGACCTCCGCCCAGAGGTTGACCAGCTGCCTTGGGACTGCGGCCTCGCTCTTCCTCTGTGTCTGGAACCGGACACTTCCTGTCTGTAACTGCAGCCCCTGGCTGCCCATCCATCCCTCTCACGCCCTCTCCCCGGCCACCTGCTGCCCTCAGCCCAACCCCTCAGGTCCCATGCTGCTGGCCCGCCCCGCAGCAAGGCGGTTGGGTGTCTCTGTGGCTGTTACTCCTCCCACCCTGCATCTGTTTGCTCTGGACATGTTAGCTGAGACCCTGGTGTGACATTGTCTTCCTCATGCCTTCGTGGGCCGCTCTACTTCCTCCACTCTTTTCAAGATTTTATGTATTTGTGCATGCAGAACTGGGGTACAGGCCAGAGGTACAGGGGTGAGAGGACTCACCAGAGTCAGAGTGGGGAGCGGAACAGGTGGATTGACTGAAGCACTGCTGAGGGGAGCAGCGGGCGGGTCAGGAGGGGTCTGCTGTGCCCTGTGGGACATCACCTCCCTGGCCAGGGATCGAACTCGGGCTGCAGTGGCTGTGGACAGCTCCATGTGCTGAGACGTAACCCCTTGCACCACCAGGGCCCCCACCCCTGGCATTGCAAGGGGCAGTGCTGGCATAATCCAGAGCTGAGTCTGGGGCTCTAACTTCATCACCGAGAAGTTTCTCTTGGCCAGAACCTCCCGCCTGCCCTCGCACCTCAGTGTCGAAGGCCTGCTGACTGCATGTTCTCTGCAGGTGCTGGCCGAGGTCCTCACGGGCATCCCCGCCGTGGATAACAGCCGAAGCCCCGTCTACCTGGTGAGGGACCCAGTGACTTCGGCTTGCTAAGCAAGTCTCTGTAATAATTGCACATCGCAGGTCTTAAGAACTATTATATGTGTATGAAACGGCCGTCTGGATACAGGTTACAGAGTTTATGCATGTGGTCTGCTGAGTGCTCGCAGATGTTACTACTCTGAAGCCTCTGCAAAGGCTGACCCGTGAGGCTGGTGGGGTCGTGAGTCCACCATTGGAGGACCAAGCCCTGCCCTGAGGCTTGCCTGTGGCCTCCACTTTGCTAGGGTGGGGCTGGAGTTCCTCCGGGTTCTCTGGACTCAGCGCCTGGCTCAGAGTAAGAGCGGAATAAATGTCAGCCATCATTGTTGTCATTGTTACTTAACTTCTCTGCCAGGCACTGGCCTCTTGTACACAGGGCGAGTCAGATAAAGTTCTGACCCTCGTGGAGGTTTCTCTTTGGCTCTGGAGCAGACAGTGGGCGCTGAATGAGTCTGTGTGGGTTAGGGGCAGAGCGGGGATGGTGGGGCAGGCTTAGTGCTGCGAGGCTTCTCAGCAAGGACGTGTGAGCGGAGCCTGAGCTACGTGTGATAAAGCTGGAGGGTCAGCGGGAGCAGCCAGCCCAGAGCCCTGAGGCAGGGTGAGCTCCGTGACTTCGGTGCCTTCTGGGAACAGCCAGAGGCCAGAGTGGCTGAGGACAGGACCAAGAGGGAGAGGGGACACAGGCAGGCCAGCAGTTACTGCCCAGTGTCAGGGTCGGGGTAGCGGAAGCTAACAAGCGGGAACACTGTGGGACATCGGGAACTCCAGTGTTAGATGCAAACGCAGAAAGTTTAACTTTTCCTCTAATTTTATTTATTTAGTTTTGCGTAGAAGAGCTGCTGTGCAGGCCAGAGGTATTGGGGGCGAGAGGATGCACGGGAGACAGAGCGGGGAGCAGAATAGGCAGATGGACTGAAACACACGCTGAGGGGGTAGCGGGGAGTCAGGCGAGGTCGGCCGCGCCCTGGGGGTCCCTCCCTGGCCAGGGCTCGAACCGGCACTGCAGGGGCTGCGGACACCTCACAGAGCTGTGCTCAACCCCTTGTGCCACCAGGGCCCGCGTTTATTTTCTTAGCTGTTGGTTGTCTGAGAAGTTTCGTGGCGCTGGTGTGGCCCTGCGGCCACGGGGCTCACGGCGCTCACTCGCTGCTTCCGTCTGCTCTGCAGAAGGATCTGCTCCTGGCCGAGCTCCCCAGCAGCAGCGCCTCGCCCTGCTCCGGGAGGACCGGCGCCGAGCGAGCCGCGGCCCGGGAGATCTGCCGCCGGTACCTGGAGCAGAGGGCGGGACACCTGCAGGAGGACTGCGCCGAGGCCCTGGCCACGGCCGCGTGCCGCTGCCTGCGGAGACGCAACGCCAGCCTGGCTGAGGTGAGCGCAGCTTCCCTGCGGGCCGGCCGCACTGGGCCCCGCCCGCGGTGACCGGACCCCCAGACGGGAGTCATAATGGGGCTGTGCGGGGTCGCGGGCGAATCGTCGGTGCGGTCAGCCAGGGGTGGAGAGGACGGGGCGCCTCAGGGGCGGGGGGCGCCTCAGGGGCGGTGGGCGCCCCGTGCTGCTGACTGGGGGCCAGGACCAGACCCTCACGGTCAGCACTTGCCCTCTGTCTGTGTCCGCTTCTTTCTTCCTCCTCCCTCCGTGGACCCGCTGGCCCACAGGGGATAAAACATTCCCGTGTGGAGGAGATGGTCTCCATGGCAACGGGTGTAAATTTGGGGGCGGCCGCTAGGTCTTTGTGAGCTCAAAATGGCCGTCTGAGAGGCGCTTAGAGCCGAGTGGTTTTCAAGTGGCGTCTTGCACAGGAGGCCGGTGAGAATACCTCACGCTTCCTGCTGGCAGCGAGGGGCTGGGGGACCCGAGGGCCCCACCCTGCCGCCCGCCAGACACCCCGTTTCACTTCTCATGAAATGGCACTGGGGTCTCGGAGTTTCCTCAGAGGAAAGGGTTTGTTGGCGAAGCAACATCTTCAGACGCCCCTGCTGTGGCCCAGCTGCCCCAGAGAGGAGAGGAGCGTGTCTGTCAGGCCCGCCAGCGTCTCTCCCTCGCTCGCCATCTTCCACCTTGACGTGGCAGGTGCCCCTCGTCATCGCTGCCAGCCTGGGCTAGACCCCGCTCCCCTCCCCCAGCCCCTGCCGGAGTGCCAGTCTCCGGGGGTTCACTCAGCGGCGTTTGCTGGGCCGGGGCATCGGTCCACGAGCAAGGAAGTGATGTGTGCAGGGCGGACAGCAGCCCAAGCGGAAGGAACAGCCCAAGCGGAAGGCCTGAGTGGGGAGAGAGCCCGGCCCGGCCGAGGGCCTGGAAGGGCACCAGGGCCAGAGTGGGGGTCCGTGGAGCCGAGGGGCTGAGGCGAGGCCGGCGAGGAAGGCGTGGCCCGGAGCAGGCTTTGCAGGCACTGGGAGGATCCGGGGAGGTGGCGAGGGGCCCTAAGCGGGGCAGGCCATATCCCATTTATGTTCTAAAAAAAATTTCTCTCCCTCAGCTTAGTCTCCATGCAGGGTTCATCCCAGCGATCATTCTTTCATGTGCCCTTGAGCAAGCAGCTACAGTGAGGAGACCCCCGAATGCAGTGGTTTAATGAGAGGACTGTATTCTCGTTACCCCAGCAGTCTGAGCGCAGGCAGTTCGGAGCTGTGTGGCAGGGCCACAGTATCGGGGTCCCGGGCCCCTTCCACGTTGGTCCTCAGTTGTCCTCCCCATGTGGGTCTCGTCTCAGAGCCCAGGATGGTTGCTGTTGCGCAGGCCATCACGTCTGCCTTCCGGCCGCTGAAAGGGGGAGAGCACGTCTTACTCCTCTTAAAGTTGTGGGCTGAAAATGTGCACAGCACTTTTCCTCGCATTCTGTAGGCCAGAACCTGGCACACCCAGCTGTAAGGGACTCTGGTCTTCAGCTTGGCAGACCCCGGACATGTACTGGAAGGATTTACCCCGTGCGCTGGGCCTTGATGGTGTTCGCCAGGTAGAATCAGGGGCGTAGGGCATGTCATAAAGGGGAATGGGAGATGGCCCTCGCCCCCAGGATTTCACAGCCCGGCTGGAAGGACGATGGATCGCTTGGTCCGCGGCCGGGGAGACCAGCAGGCCTGGTTCGTGACCAGCTGTGCCTCTCCCGCGGGGACCCAGCTGCCTTGACCTTTATGTGTTTGTCCCCGGGCGCTCAGAGCGCAGCGAGTGTGGAGTGTGCTTGGAAGCTGCACGGCGCTGAGCAGCTGCGACTGGCTCTTGTTGCTCGGGGTACAGTGGGCGCGCGAGGAAGAAACCTCCCTGCTTCCCGCTCACTTCCTGATCTTTCTGACCACACACAGCCTCAAGGCAATGCCTACATTGCCAGGCGCTGCTAGTCGGAAGCAATGCAGACTCAACTCAAACTCTTAGAAACAGGCACAGAAACACAAAAAACGAGAAGGAAGGAGGGAGAACGGACGGACAGACGGACGGACGGACGGACGGACGGACGCAGTTGCTGGCTTATTCCTTCCAGCGGCGGCGGCCAGGCGCTGCTCTGGCCAGGGCAGCTCACCCAGGCCCGCCCAGCAGAGGTGCCATATCTCGTTTCCGCAGCGGCCTCCATTTCTCGCCTCGGCTTTACTCTGTGGGGAGGGGGCTTCCGTTGCTCCTGCTGGAATGGGTTTTGTGTGCGCGCGGGGGCCTGGCCCTGCTTCCCGTAAGCAGTGGGTGGACGGAACCCCCCCGGGACTGTGACGGGCAGAGGCCCGGGCTCAGCGGCGCTGCTCCGCGCTGGCCCTGGGTGTGGGGCAGGGTTGGCGCTTTTCCACGGGAGGCCGCTGCTCTTGCAGACCCAGAGGCAGACACTCGCTTCCTGGGCGTCTCTCCTGGCCCGGGCACAGTTCAGCTTCTGCAGAGTTCTCGCAGTGCTCACGCGCCCTCTGCCCCCAGGTGTGTGGCTTGGTGGCCACCGTGGAGGAGCGGCTCACAGGCCAGGAGGCCTCGCCCCCGTGCAGTGGGCTCTCGGAGGGCACCGGCTCTTCCTCCAACACCCCAGAGGAAACGGACGACGTGGACGTCTCCAGCCTCGGTGCCTCCTCTTCCAGGAGGGCAGCTTCCCCGTCTGGGGCTGCCCCGGCTCCCCCCCACACGGAGGAGAGAGCGGCGGAGGAGGCCGAAGGGTGGTCGCAGGCTGGGGGGGGCGTGGAGGCCGACTCCTGCGCTGAGGCCTGTGCCAGCGCCAAGCCGCCCCAGGATGGTAAGCTCCTGTGGCCGCTTACATGACCTTACCGCAGCTGGCCCTCGGTTCCTTCATTCCCTGCTCCCATGGTTCTTCAGCCACCTGCCGAGAGACTGCCCACGGAGACACCTGGCACCCTTCCTGACCCCCCCTTGTCCTGCCCCCCGCCCCCCACTCCACCAGTCCCGCACCCCGGCTGTCCCGACTCCTGAGCACCTCCAGCTGCATCTGCCTCGGCCTTCCCCTCGCCTCAGCCCTTGCCCTCTCCAGCCAGATGGCCGCAAGACCCACCTGCGTCCTCACCGACCCCCGCTGCCCCTCCCCAGCACTTGCAGGCAGCCACAAGAGAAAGTGCTTTCTTTCTTTCTTTCTTTAAAGATTTATTCATGCATACAGAACTGGGGGACAGGCCAGAGGTGCGGGGGGTGAGAGGGCTCACTGGAGACAGAATGGGGAGCAGAACAGGCAGATGGCCTGAAATAACTGCTGAGGGGAGCAGCGGGGAGACAGGAGAGGTCTGCTGCGCCCTGTGGCCACTCCCTGGCCGGGGATCGAACTCGTCCCGCAGGGGCTGTGGCCCGCCTCATAGCATTTTAACCCATTGCGCCACCTGGAGGGCCCGAGAAAGCGGTTTCTTAAAAACAACTCGCATCTTCCCTCCTTGGAAGCCCCGGGGAACCCCTCATCGAGCGCCAGGCCCAGCCAGGCCTCACTTTCCGCACAAACCCTGTGCCCGTCTGCTGCTTTGTAGACCCCTGCGCTGCCTCCCACGCCCAAATATACCGGAATTTCTTCTGGAATAAAATCCAGAAGGCCTGTTCGAGGCAGCGCTCACCTAGTCCCTCCTCCTGTGGGCCAGCCTGGGGCCCTCCCCGGGCAAGTGGGCGGGTGGAGCCAGCATCTCTCACAACTCTCAGGCCTACTCAGAAGCCTGAGCGAATAGGACCTGACCAGGAGATGGCTAAGAATTATAATAGAGTTCCACTGCCAAATGCCTTTCACCCACTGCTTTATTTTTTAAACTTCTGTGGCTCAACAACTCCAGAGACTTCATGGAAAATCGAGATCAATGAGGCCAAAAGGAAACTGATGGAGAACATTCTGCTCTACAAGGAGGAGAAGCTGGACAGCATCGAGCTTTTTGGCCCCTGATGACCGCGTGCAGCTCAGTCGGCCGTTGTCCTTGACTGCAGAGTCCTGCATCCGGCGACCAGAACGGTCTGAGGCCCAACCCTAGATCTCCCGGGAAACACTCAAACTCCCCTCGCTGGGAGGGAGAGAAACGATTTTTGGGCCCTATCACGGCTTCCATTTCACCAAGGTGAATGTGGGGAGAAGGGACCTCGGCTTTTGGAGACACCAATTCCAGAGCCGTCTTCCTCTCTGAACTGCTGGTCCGAGCTGGGAGTCAGGAGCCTGAAGCGGAGCTGCGCGATGTGGGCCCAGGACAGCCCGCCGGTGCCGGCATCCTCCCCAGCGGCACGGTTCCCACTCAGGCCCTCGGCGGCTGGCCGGCCAGCTGGACGTGAGTGTTTTCCCAAGTGAAGACCTTTCCGGCAACACCTGCAGACTTCTGGGACCTGAGAGATTTTCGGTGTGTGTCTCCACGCGATCCTCGCCTCACCTGTCCGGGCCTGGCAAAGGGCTCTCTAGGTCTTCTGCTTTCTCCTGGGACTCTGACAAGCCTCAGTATTTATTTAACACCCTCAAAGCACCTTTATCCCCCGCCCTACTAACGCTAATATTTTCAATAGAGCTTTTATTTTGAGAATATGTATTATTTATGGCTAGGTGGAGAGTCAGGAGAACTCGCTTCATGCACGAGTCTGCTGCTAATTGAGTCATTTAATTTCTGGAGCCGGTTTCCCTGGAGGGAAGCACACCTGCTCACTTGCCTGCCCTGGGCTCTTGGGGAGGAATGGGAGACTCGGCTACGGACGCACTTTGAAAATGCACTTGTCTTGTTTTATCAAAGAATTAAAAAGGCATTAAATGTGCGTTTCTGCCATATACCTCACACTTCTGCACGGGGACATTCCTGAACAGTGGCAAATCTTTTTGTGAAATGTGTTACTTTAAATTCACTGTGTTCTGCTTTACAGATCTGATTGTGGTGATTTTTTTCCTCCTGTCTTGTAAAATAAAAATAAATCGGTCAACAGAGATGTGGTAGTTAGTTTTGTGTGCAGGTGCGCTCGTTTGGAGGTTTTCTACATTCCCAGAGGGGTGTCTTGGGGTGACCTGGTCATTACATCCAGCCTTTCGGTTTGGCTATTGATAGTGCTGTCATGTTGGACCAGGCGAGGGAGTTACTCTGAACCTATTTCTTCATCGATACTATGGGAAGAGCAAAAAAACACATATTCACAGTCTTGCTGTCACGCAAGGGGCAGATCTTTCCAGGTGAAAGCATCCAGCAGCCCCTCTGTGCCCCCAGCTCTGCACTAAGTTTAGCAGTCGGGGGGCTCCAGCTCAAGTGGACAGAGAGCTGTACTGATACCCCATCTTGTTTTTAAAAAAGATTTATTTATGCATATAGAACTGGGGTACAGGCCACAGGTGCAGGAGGTGAGAGGATTCCCCAGAGACAAAGTGGGGTGCAGAACAGGCAGATCGATGAAGTACACAGCTGAGGGGAGCAGCGGGGAGACAGGAGGGGTCTGCCGCGCCCTGTGGGTCACCTCTCGGGCCGGGAATTGAACTCGCACTGGGGCAGCTGTGGCCAGCTTGCAGGGCTGCGTCCTTATCCGGTGCGCCACCAGGGAGGGCCTGACATCTCATCTTAAGCTCTGGTGATAGTGTGCAAATTGAGGGGTACCCTGAGAACCCCAACCCCATGCTCTAAATGGGTTCTGCCACTGGCTGTATAGAGACAGCATTCTCTTATGTGCACAGGGAGAGAAGAAAGGTTGATCGTCTCCCAAGAAGAGAACCAGTTACCCATCAGCTCCTAGGTAAATGCCCAAACAGGGTTGGCTAGAAACAGGGTGCTGCGCCCCCAAAGCCTGCCACCGGCCTAAGGTACCTTCTCAAGGGGCACCATAGGGAAGGGGTAGGAGGAGCCAGGCAGGTCTGGAAAGGAGCAAAAGTATCAAGCTGCTGTCAGCCTCCCGGCCGGCCTCCCGCTCACACCTCTTCCGAGTGTCTCTCCATGTCTCGACTCCATGTTCTCCCGCCACGCTCCCCCAGTGCCTGGTGCAAGCCCAAAGCTGAAAGTCGAGTATGCGCCCTCTTCTCAAGACTCTGCTCCTCATTCCTCCTCCAAGTCTCCTTCGGTGTCTTCCAAGTCTCTGCGCTCAGCGCACCCCTTCAGGAGGCAGGTATGGAGCACGGGACTTCCCTTTTTATGGAGGTTACACTCCAACAGTGGCTGTGAGTGTTCGATGAGAGCGCGCCCTGTGCCCCAAACAGGGCAAGTAGCTCACGATTCTGAGGGAGTAAGGCGTTTCCAGGGCATCGGAGGAGGAGGGTTCGCACATTTCCTTGCATTCCCGGCTAGTTTATTTCGGTTGAGAGAATGTAAGGAACGTTACTGACCTTCTCCCCCCAGCAAGCAGTAAATACATAAATTCCATATGTGAATTGCAGGGGTTCATGGCACTGGAATCTTTCTGTGAATCCCCAAAGAGAAGTCCTATCTTTTTAAAATTAATAGAGGGACATGACCAAAGAAGAAAGAAAGAAATCCAAGCAGTATGAAGATCAAATGGTGGAAAGAGGCCCATTCCTTCCTGGAATCAGCGTGTGCTTCTTTTCTCCAAAGAGCTTTTAATTTTTTAAAATTTTTTTTCACACTGTTCTTCATTTTGTGCATTTTTTCAACTCAGTTGCACTCCCCATGTCCAGAGATTTTTTTTCCCTGCTGGACATCACTAGTCATTAGGGAAATGTACACGTGGTAGTTCACACCTACTTGGATGGTAAGACTCAGAGCCAACGGCAGGTCTTGGCAGGGCTGTGGAGAACTTGCTCAGGAGTGGTCAGGGAATCTGGAAGATCTTCCAAAGCGCAGAACTTCCTAGGACCCAGAAATTCCACTCCGAGCTCTGTAGCCAACAGAAATGAAAATGTGTCTATAAAAAAACACACACACTGGTGTTCATTACAAAGCTAAGAGCCCAAGTTAGAAGTAACCAAGCAACAACTGAATGGGTGGGTGACCGTACCATACACACGCCACATGGAATATTATACAGCCAGGGAAAAGGATGAAGGGCTTGTGCCCTGTTACAACATGTGTGGATCTGGAAAAGATTATGCTAAATTCCAGTCATAGTGACTAAATCCATTTTACAAAATGCCCAGAATTGGCAAATCTGTAGAAACAAACCAGATGAAGTGCCGCCTGGGGGGGCCTCACATGTGGTCTGCGGAGGGGGGATGACACAAGGTTTCTTTCTGGGGTGGAGACATTCTGCAGCCAGTGTGATGCTGGTGTTGCACAACCCTGTAAACAGCCAGCTCCGGTGGGTCTACCCCCCACAGCTGCTGCTCCCCGAGGCTGTCACTTGAGGGGTCCATCAGAGCATCTCCGCGGCACCCCGATTCACCCGCCTGCTTCTCGGTCCCGCCCTTTATCGCGCGCAGGTCGTCTCATTTGTCCGCCTCAGTGACTGGAGTTACGTTTTCATTAATTTCCAGCCGTCTGTAACTGGGTTCCTTCCCTCCTTCATTTCCTCTGCCCCTTTTAACGCTGAACGACGGGCAGTCAGCCCTCGGTCCGGTTGCTCCCTCGAAGCCTGCGCCCCGTTTCCCGAGTCGCTGCAGGTGGCCGAGGGGCTGTTTCACATCCGTGGAGCCGGGGTGTGCGCGCGTGCGGCTGCCAGCTCCCACCCGCACGCTGCCACGCCCCGGGCGCGCCGCTCGGCCGGGAGCCGGTTTCCTGCGCTGAGACAGACCGCGCTTAGGGGTCGGAGGGCTGCGGCTCGGGAGCCGGGTCCGCGGACGCCCCCTACCGACCCCGGCCGCGGACCCGAGCCCGCGCGGTCGCGCCTCGGCTTCGCGCTCTCGGGGCCGACGCAAGCGGTTTTGCCCCGCCCCTTCTAGTTTCTGACCAATGAATAGGCTGCTCTAGGCGTAGGTTCCCGCCTCCAGCACGTCTGACCAACGGGGACGCTCCGTCTTGCTTGGAGTCCCGCCCCCTGCGGATGGGAGCAATGGGTGCCCTGCGTTCGGCGCAGGCCCCGCCCCCTCGGCCGCTCCCCGGCCCAGGGCCGCAGGGC